CCATCTGACATGTTTTGTGATATACCGCATTACAAGATGCAATGGGTGCTAAAGAGCACGCATGACAATAAAGCTTCAATGCTGGCAGTGGACATTGATTATGGCACAACGAAACCTTCTTCTCGTCAGCCTTGCTATACTTCGCTATGTCCCTCCTACTATTCTATGACAGCTAAGAACAGGGCGCATTGCTCCTGGAATTAGTTAATGACTTATTCAATTAATTTCATCCATGCTTGAAAAAGCCCATGCTGGGGTATACAGATAAAATCTTCGCTTAGCGTCCCTTAAATACCTTAAATACAAATACAAACATCGGAATCTAAAGTAAATCTACTAAAATCAACCATCCAATTAGCAAAAGCCGAGACATTTTCTCGGCCATCGTAAAATCATAATATATAGAAAAATCCATGATCTAAACCCTCTCAACATGTTCATCAACACCATGATTTTTCTCTAAGCCCTCATCAGGCACTGCACTCGTACGTCTCAGGACCCCAGTATCCGCGACAAGACTGGGCCCATGGCCATGCCTCTTCCGCTCCTTCTGGAGCTCCAAGGAAACCTTCACGGCGCTCTTATCCGGCTGAGTGAAAAGGTAGTCAATCTCCTCGAGACTCAGCTTGGCAGTTTCGGGGTAGCAGAAGTAAACAAGCGGCACAAATGCAAAGTTGGTGCACATGAAAATCAGATATGCCTTCCACTGGAGGCGGTTGATGATCACGGGGGTAATCATGACGACGAAGAAGTTCTGTGGCTGATTAGTATCTTCATCCTCTTTCGATCGAGGAGGTAGAACCCAGATGGACTTACCCAGATCCAGTTGGAAGAGATCCCCACAGCCGTTCCCTTAGCTCTAGCTTGCAGTGGAAGGATTTCCGGTACATAGACCCATGGAATGCAGTTGACTGATGCTCCGAAGATAAGCATGAAGAGGAAAAAGAAAGCAACCGAAGCCGATGAGGTCGCGTGGCCATTTTCCTTGCCCTTGAAGCTGAGAAGGATGGAAACCATCATCATGCAGATCCCAAGGCCGAAGGAGCCCCACATCATGGGCGTTCTGCGGCCTACTCGATCGACGAAGAAGGTAGGGAAGAAGCTGCCAACGACAAACATGACCTGGGCGCATCCTCCGACGATCATGGAGAGGTTCTTGGTAAGGCCAACGTTGGTGCTGAGGACCGTCGGAATGAAGTATCTACAGTTGTTAGCCGGAAGCTTAATGGGGAGGCGTAGGAGGCGTACACTAGAAGGTTGATGCCACCGAGCTGGTTCATGAATTGCATTCCATAGCCGAGAAGACTATATTCTTTGTTAGTTTGGTGCTAGCGTGAAATTGGAGAATATACGTACACTCGCTGGCCTGTGCAAACTTCGTCGCGCTTCAGGATATTTCTATTGCCGGTGAGCTTTGAATTCTCGAAGTGGGGTGAAGTAGGGAAATATACCTCCACTTGTACTCTCCATGCTTGGTCTCAATAGCAAGAGCCTCGAGGATCTCGGCCTGCTCGACGAGAATCTTCGCGTCGTCTTTTGGTCGACCGTATACATCACTAAGGATCTGCAACGCTTCGTCGTCACGTCCTTCCTTGTAGCAATACCTCGGAGACTCGGGGAGGCCGAAAACAAGTATAATGACGACCTTGAAGCAGTTAGAATAATCCTGCCGCAGTTGGATCAAAAGTACTAACGAATCCAAAGAGCATCTGACACGCGATGGGCAATCTCCAAGCAATTTGGCCCCCGACAAAGCTCATTCCGTAGTCGAAAAAGTAACTGCAAATTGTGAGAATGGGTCGTACAACATGGTGAAAAGGTGTGATACCTGACGACAATGCCCACACCCACCAGTAAAGGCTCACTGCAGACGAGTTTACCACGCTTGGACGCCTCACAGAGTTCTGCCTGGTACATGGGCACAGTAGAGGTTTCAATCCCAGTACCGATACCCGTCACGAAGCGACCAACCATCATGTGTGGAACGGAGAACGCAGATGCTTGCAAGGTGGCGCCGATCTGAAAACGAGGCTCACGCGTCAGCAACTGATCTATGACGGTCTAACCTCACCGAAAACTTACAATCACCCAGACCATCGCAAGCCACATGGCCTTTCTCCGTCCGAGCCAATCGCCTATTAGGAAGTTCACAATGCAACCGGCAAAGCATCCGAGGTTGTATATGGAAACAATGATCCCCATCAAGCTGTCTCCTGGGTTACCCATGGTGTCGAGAAAGTCCTCATTCTCGACGATTCCGGAGAAAACACCTTGGTCGTATCCTGCGCGGGTCAGCAATTCCATGCATGTAGGTCTATCTGCGATTGAGTCGGTTACCGAAGAGAATGAACGCCATTCCACAGGCCGCCCAAATGGCAGCCTGCAGAGTGAACCCTGTGCCGAACACGTTGAGCTTCACCATTGTGCCTCGCAATCTCGCGTGGGTCTGTATGGGGATGGTCTAAGATGGAAAATCTGGGGAAGTGGACCAGATGGAGACATATCGCACAGCACGGGGTAGATAAGATTTATACATGATCACAATGCACGAGCCCAACATGGCGCAAGGTCCAGTATACGAGTCACCATGTCACCCTAAGTGTAACTTGACCAGTCGGCAAAAAAACTGCCCCGGATGCAGAAGAGCCGAAGGTGCCCAAAGAGGCAAGGCGAGCCACCCGTTACCCCAGAAAGCGGCGCTACCCCGCAAGAGTCTAACCTCAAAACGGGGGATCTTCGCCCTCAAATTTGTCTCTGCTCACCTCTTTTAGACGTCATCACCTTGGCCACTCCCCCAACCCGGCCACTTTCCCCAGCTTTTCAGATCGCTGTGGAGTTATTGGTGGAAAGAGTCAAGGCCAATGAAGGCAACGTCGCCATCGTACCATACAATCAACGGACAAAGTTCGTCTATTTAGCCGAATCAGAGAAGTCAAGATAAAGCATCGATCTTGGCGCCGTCTTAACCACCGATTAAGGCGAAGGCAAAGGGCAAGTGTCTTTAGCCGGCCGAGAGCCCTTAGTTCATTGATAGGCGGTCTTCGGCTCAGGAACCTTTTACCCAATCAATTCTTTCTCCCCGAAGATCCCAACATCAATCTCTGCCCAAAAGCGTACCTACTTGCTATCGGGGTCTTGGCCGGTCTTTGTCCAATACCAAACAAAAGAAAAGAAAACAAAAAAGGGTCCCCTCATCGTGAAAGACAACAGCCAAATTGAGCAATGTTTTCCACTGAGCCGCCTTTGAAGCGCCGGCGAGTCTCGAGCACCACCTCGCAACATCCACTGCGCGCCGAGGAAGAGCCGTCACCCGGTGCGAATGAGATAACTCACCCAAGTCCAATTGATTATCATGAGTCTCAACCACTTCCTCCGCAGAGCTACAATGGCATCAGCCACAGTTCTCCCGCGTCAGGAGGACCATTCCAGTCTCCCGGAAGCTGGTATCAGGATGGCTTCTCTCAAGATCCAGGGTTCCTCGCCTCCCAAGAAGAACTACGATGTATCCTTTTCTCACTAGCTTATTCTGCTGCTCCAACGCGGGCACCTAGCCCCGATGCCGGGATACTGGACCGGCTTGGTGATAGAGGGACGGATCGAGTTGGCATTGACACAATGCCCCAATCCCACCGGGAAAGACAACAGGAAGACTCTCATCGGTCGCCTTTTTCAAATAGCAAACGTATTAAATACCTGAAGAATTACGTGACCGAGGTGGCTCCGTGGGTAAGCACACCCTATGCTCCATCTTTGATTCATCTCTTCTATTGACACCCGGTAGCTCGACATGTTCGACTCGCAATGCACGTTCCGTCAGCAGCTTCCCGCACTAGCGCGAACATTTCCGGCTTTGTCTTATGCCATTCTCGCCTTCTCAGCACGGCATATGGAGCGTAAAGAGGGCGTTCAGGACTTGTTCGATAGCCTTGAGCTATACCAGGAAGCAATAAGACTCCTAAGCCCGGTACTGCAAGTACGCGATCCGAAGATTGTAGCCGCGTGTGTATTACTTTGCTGTTTGGAGATGATGTCCGCTCGAGCGCAGGATTGGCGCCGTCATCTCGAAGGATGTGCTGCTTTATTTGATGCATTCGAGATTCACGGATTTAGCAACGGGTTACTTCAAGCTGTGTTCTGGTGCTATGCGCGGATGGGTAAGCTTTGCTCCCCTTTATCTCAAAAGTACATTAGGTTCTCATTATATACAAATCTAATCATATACTCAGATCTTTGTGGTGCACTCATCTCAGATGGTACCCAAACTACGCTTCTACACCCCTCCAAGTGGCTTCCCCCGGGCTACCAAGAAGAGGATGCGTATCAATTGTTCCAAGATGCTAAGTCGCCTGACATGCATGCCAATTATGCTGTGTATCTCTGTATGAGAGCAACCCAGCTCGTCTCAGATCGCACGAAATTTGTGGAGTTGCATGAACAGAACGGCTGTAACCTGGAAACATTCTGCCTGCGTTGGGTTCGGTTATGGGACGACCTACAACGATGGCTTTCGGAACGGCCGAGCGAATTGCTGCCCGTCCAAACTGTCAACCGTAAGCCCTTCCCACATATTTTGTTTGTTCAATGGGCCGCCATCTCTTCAAACCAGCTCTACCATACGGCATGCCTCCTGTTGCTCAAGATGATGCCGAAGGGGATCAGATTGCCGCGATCACCCAGTTTGTCCATGCTATGGCATGCGCGACGAATCTGTGGTATCTCTCTTGCAAACCCGCATCAGGGGTGTCTGAATAACGCCTTGCAGCCTCTATGGATTGCAGGGCGGTTGTTCAGTCATGCGTCGGAGCATAAGGAGATCACAAAGCTGATCCGAGACATTGAAGCTGAAACGGGATGGGGGACGTGTTGGCGGATCCGAGATTTGGATATTGCTTGGGGATATAGTACCCGCCGACGCACCTCAAACGATCATGATCAGCAGTTCTCCACTGCCCGTGAACCGCCTCGAGTCTTATAATGAATCAATGATCCAGCCCGACTTTTCAAAGACCGTCGAGAAACGACCATTCTTCTTGGAGGTGGCTCAGATATTCGCCGGTATCCCAACCGGTGATCCCACGGATGCGATCAAAGCCTTGCAAGATTTCCTGTTGCTGCGATTCGTGCGTCATATGCTTCGCTGCAAGAAGGAGAGAGGCAAGCAAGCATGGGTCCCAACTTTCGCGTGTATCATTATTGAGCGCGATACCGCAGATACGGTATGCGTGCCACAGAGGAGATAGGACTGGAGACTGCGGGTGATTTAGCAGTGCAGTTCGTGGCTTACACTGGAGCAACAACAGCATTGCGGTATGGTATATCTGATTGCTGAAAGTTCCAGCCCCGTTTGCGAATAGAAGCAATGGGAATTCGCTCCCTTGATTGAGTACTTGATCTCTCGCGTCTATCTCCACCATTGGTTCGAATTCTAGTGGCCGCAAATTCTGCCACTGCTCAAGCTCCCCAAACACTTGCAACCAATTTTCCATCACCTCATGTGAAGTCGCAAGAGGGTGTGGCATAGCTTCTTGGTGGCATAAGGCTAAAGCCTTCCCACATAGCCACAAGACAGCATTGGTATAATGGCTAACCCTTTCGCATCCATCCTCGGTACGAGATAACAATGATAGGCTGGGAATCGGGAGCATTGGGAGCGGAATTCGAAGGGGGACATCGTTAGCGAGTGCCACTCCTAAGTCTGGTAGGTATCATGTTAGCTGGTGTACATATCATATGGCAGATAGGCTAGCGTCGAACGTACCTATACGTAAAAACATCCAGTAAGCAGTCGACTCCATGTTCTTACTGTAGGCATGCTGAACCAAGTGATTTACAAAAGGGACATCCCTATTCGCCCAGTCGATCCAAGCTTTTGGAACATCTGTGACTAGATGTCGAATATCTTCGAGAAGGTATAACAATATAAGCTCCGTGGAGTCAGGATGATCATAGTCTAGTTGGTCCAATTGGTTGCTCTTTCGAAGGGCCAGCTGCTCAAGACCTGCTCTATTCCACTGACCCCGCTGAATGATGCACGTTTCGGAAAGTGCTAATATCGCTGAGAGAAGTTTTTCTGAGTTTGTTGCCATCTGAATTACATTAATTCCAAACGGGTGCCTCAAATCGCAAATGTCAAGCTATATTTACCGAAGAGAAGTCAGAAAAACTTATATTGGAAATTGGCATATAAGGATGTCCTTACCCAAGTAGCAACATGGTAGCGGTAATGGCGGAGAAGTTCTAGTCTGCGAGCTTCCGTTTCAATACCGATACTCGTAGTTATGGAGGTAGACAGCCGATTGATACTCGTACGTCTGGGATCGTCCAAAAGTCCGGTAGGTACTGCTGGCATTGGAATCTCCTTGACCTCCGAGGACCGGGTATTCATCAGCGACGATAACGTGACATTGGGACTGAGTAGCGACAGGTTAGTCGACTCCGGTATGATACCGTTCGGGCCAGCTGTAGATCCTAGAGCCAGCAGGCCTTGAACAGCATCATCCTTGTCCTGGTGAGGGGTCCCATCTGGCGATATGTTGAGGCCACCATCCCAATGTGATAAGTCCAAGGTATCATGATGAATACTACCCCCATCACCATAGTGCTCATCCAAGTCATGGTTATCCTTCCGATCACTGTCTTTTCCTTCGCCGGCGATGACTACTGCACTAACTATAGGATCACTCCGAGTATGTGCCTCCGGAATGCTGGCAACGGGGGATGGCGAATCCTCCACGGAAGCATCGGTGGTACAGCCCAGTGGATCTTCCTGGACAAACTAAACCCAAGAATCAGTATGCACATACAGTGGACAGTGACCCAATTGAAGAAATGCAGTTCAATATTAGAAAGCAAGAGACACTACCCACTTTGATCTTGTCATAATTTACTTCAGGCTTGGGCGTGCGCAATTCACTTGCGGTGACCGTGAAAGTGTTCTTCTGCAGGAAGCTAACCTGCAATCCATATTGACAGTCTAGGTTCTTGTCGATACAATTTTGGCAGCGAGGTTTTCCTTCGTCGCCTAAAATTTGAGGCAGGTTACATTAGTGCCGCGCTACACAGACGATCTAGCGTCTGGAAGATAATATTACTCACATTTCCGCCGTCGCTTTCGACACCGTAAACACCCGGTCCTGCATCTTGTGAATTTAGGGGCGGTTTTGGTCGGAGAGCCGTCGTCGTCCATCGTCAGGAGCGTTGAAAAGCAGGAGTCAAGATAATCACATTTTCCCAAGGACGGAACGCCTTGGGTCTGGCACCGATCTAAATACGGAAAGCGCAAGCGTCAAAGGAGATTCTGGGGAACTTTCCCGAACGGATTTCCCCACATTATCGGTTCGTGCGGTGGTTCCAACTGCCGTACCGGGTTCCCGATTTTACTCTCCACTCCTCTTTTGGACCTGATATAGCTGCTTCCAGTATGAGCTCTGCACCATTGTTGGATCGTTTTGAGACTCAGTCACATCGAGCGGTATGATACAGCTCAGAACTCATCACAACCTTGATATGCTACCCTCAAGTCCTGAGCAACTGAGTAGCTGTCAAGACCGCTTGATCAGGAATGCAGCAGTTTCCTAAGCCCGAAATATATTCCAGTGAACAGGATTGACCCGCAGAAGCTTATTATGATCTTTTCCCGATGGAAAATCTTGGCCAACCGATAGGTAACCCGTTGGCTAATTTCATCGGTCATATAACATGGGGAGAAACGAGCAATACCATGTTCCTGAGATCTATACAATGCAGGAGACAAGTTTGAAAACTACCCTGCTCGTCTATCATTATTCATCGCGCACTACGCTGGATTATGAGAATGGATGGGAGGCTATGAGTCTAAAGGTCAGCGATAATTGCCGGCTCACAGAGAGGTCTGGTTGCAACTTTCATTCAACAAAGAGGGCACACGCAAAGTCAACAGTAAGCGAGAAAAGCATTTCTACAGTCTGGGTACTGTATGTGACGCCTAATCTTGATAAGTTTATAATATTTAGAAGATCTCCCATATGATAGACACCCAATCGGTATTATAAACCGTTGTTGAGAATACACGACCAGCAATCAATCGTACTGAATACAGCACAGATATGATTCTCGGAATAATGGTTTAAAATCACCCACATCCTAGTCTTCATCGTTTCCCTATGACTACTAGCCGAAATATATCATGCTACAGTACAATACCTTCCCAATCTCTATACATTCCCTAGGTCATTGAAGGACAATGTGAAGTCACTGGGCTCGCTCCGATATCGAACAGACTACCTACTATTTTCGGGTCCCTTTGATTCCTTTAGACACCAGTGACTTAGGTTTAATGGAGATCTATATTTCAGCCATGCCGGTCATGGAACTGTGATGTTCCAATATTTCGATCCTTGGCCGGTTGTCCCATGAGGCGATGTCTCACGTATGTTAACCCTGAGAAGTCCAGATAAATCCAACTTTGTCACTCCCTACTGCATTGTTTATAGATCCCGGCGACATCACCCACACAGTTTTCAGTTTCTTGAACCACCAAGCACCTCCTAGGACTTGTTGATTTGGTCCAAGTGCTTTCTTGAACCTTTCAAGCCCTCGGGGCTACCCGAGAATCTCAACGCCAATGTTCGTATGGGCGCATCAACACTTACTCGTTTCAATGAAGAGCAATGAATAAGAGGCTATTATGGTGAATACATACAATTATATAAAACACCATGGTTTTACTATTCAATTTAGCTCAAGATAGCTTAGCGATATCCACTTTCGCCTTTGAGCACCGCGTGGTTAGATTTTGGCCGATTTGTTCCTGTCCAATAACACAGGAGTGAACTCTTCGCTACTATTTTGCACACGGGATGTTACGACTATTCGTGGCAGACAGTAAGCCATTCAGACTGAGATTACATTCGAAAGGCATCAGCAATACTACCTGCTCCCTTAGTCGTCTTCACTACATTATGTCTCCATCTTACAAGCCAAAAGCCAAAAACTATGTCTAGAAATCATTGACCATCCGTTGCTTTACTCAAGGCTGAATCGAAGTATCCATCTAAAGCGAATGGTTGCAGGCCGGAGAGTCTCGCAAACCAAATAGGATTAAGGCTGGTGAGACACCAGGACGGCAGTGATATATGGCTGACAGCTTGACGTTATGGACGGGGTAGTTGGTTCATTGAAAGAAGGACGTCCCAACCACCAATTAATTAAGTAAAGTATCAGGAATACAGGCTGTTTATATTCAACATGCACCACTCGATACACAGTTTTCCTATAAAGAGATGGCGCTCTGCGAGAAGGACGAAGCTTCTGCCTCCAATAGCGGAGGACGTAGTTCTCTAAAGACTCCCACTCCGAAGAAAAGTCTGGTTGACGGCATTCGTCCGGCAGTCTCTTGCGGTGTCTTTCCGTACCACAAGTGAAAAAAGGCCCAAAAAGAAAAATAATAAAGGAAAAAAAAGGAAGAGGCTCCTCGGGGTCTAGGCAGCACACTTTAAATTGATGAATGTTTCTTAAGATTGCCCAGCCGAGTCCCACCCGGCAGGCACAAGCACTCTCCTTAACCGCACAGTGTGCCTTACAAACAAGCTGCCAGCCACGAAACAGCCCCTGCATAGAGGCTCGAACCTGGAGGGAAGAAAGAGAGCGAGGAAATTTTTTCTCAAGGGTGGATGCAGGTCTCAAATATTAACAAGCTCGGTCTACTGCAAGGGGGAATGACAGAGGTCCTTAATCCCCTAAGAACATGACCCACAATCTTATCTAAAGGTTTGTTATTCTTAGCGGCAGGTTGCATTCTATTAGTGATGCAAACTCGTCTACATGGCTGCCTGTACCACAATCCATCTTCCAAGCCAAGCTTTCAGGGAAAATAAAACCAAAATAACAATCAGAAGAGAAAAACAGAAGGAAAAGGACACCCGATGTTCGCAAAACACGAGCCAACAAACCCGAACTCACAACGCAGCAACCCAATATCAACTGATCGACCCGTGAGGTTCGTATTTCAAACTTAGCAGGAGGGCTAAACAACCCTGAGTGGCCTCAATCGACCCAAGCTGAGCCTCTTAGGACGTTAGGGCCCACGGACAAGACAAGACACGAGGATTCGCGCTCCTTTGCCGCGTTCTAAGGAAGACCTTGTGTCAATCTTCATTATTTCGCTCTACGGGTTTCGTGTCATGTATCTCACCTTGAACTGCGTCTCCCTCGATTCTTTCACAGTTTCATGTGCTTTTTTCTTTCCCAAGTCATAACTATGCAGAGAAATGTCTTTGTGGAAATGAAACTGTTCTCAAACCGTCCAAAGCCATGTCGATCCTATGGCACCTGCCTGTTTGTTTGCCTAGAGAAGGTCCACAAAAAATAGGGCTCTATTAATTTCAACCTTTAAGACTTCGAAATGGGTACATCAACAGCGATGTCCGTGCTTTTTTTTATTTTTTTTTATTTTTAAGCTAAAATGGCAAGGACCTGCAAAGTATATAGAATCTTTTAAGTATTTCTAGTTCTTAATAAACCGCACGACTCCATTCTTTCACTCCCCCTCGACACTCATTTATACATACCCAGTCTCTCCCTCTCAACGACACCCTAACCACCACACCACTCCCAAACAACTCCAACTCCAAACCCAACTACAACAACAAAAACCAAAAGAAAATGGGTGCCCCTGAGTCCGAATCCGCCGCTGCCGTCCAGCAGCAAAATGAATGGGCCAACGGCTTCTGGGACTGCTTCTCGCCCGCCGGAACCTGTACATCTCCCCAGACACTTACCCCCTACTATATATAATATACATACACCACAAGGCTAACTAACATATCCCAAACGCAGGCTTCTGGGGCTGCTGTCTCCCCTGCTGTCTCTTCGGCAAAACGCAATCTCGACTGGACGACCCCCAGCTCAAAGAATACAGCTACATGAATGGCAACGTACGTACATCCACATCCATCCATCCATCCATCCATCCATCCATCCCCTCCGAAAAAAAGCCACCCTAACTAACCAAAGAACTCACAAAAAAAAAACAGTGCTGCCTCTACTACCTCACAGCCCAAGTAGGTTTCCACTGGGTTCTGCTCATGATCCGCCGCGGCGAGATCCGCCAGCGCTTCGGCATTGAGGGCTCCGGCGTCAACGACTGCTGCGCGTCCTACTGGTGTCCGTGCTGCGTGATCATGCAGCATGAGAAGGAGGTCGAGGCCCAGAGTGAGCGCCCCCAGACGGGGTATCAGGCTCCCACGGGTATGGCTTATGCTCCTCAATGATCTCTTTTCTCGGACGTAGTATGTGTGTGTGTGTGTGTGTGTATGTGTGTATGACAGGGGGCTTTCTTTCGTTTGATGGTATTTTCTTTTTCTTTTGGATATTTGTTGATGGTTTGGGTTGGATTCCCCTATCTATGGCTTGGGCTTTTTCTTTCTTTTTTCTTTCTTTTGTGGATATTTCTTTGGTGGTAATGGTGGTTAATGGTGGTTAATGATGAGGGGTTGATTGATGGTTATGAGTTTCAGTTAGCCTGGTCTCTTGTCTGTTTACTATGGTATATGCTAGAGATTGTGGGATAATATTCCGTGATGCGTTACTATAATATGTGCTAGCAAGCATACTACTCTATACCCGAAGGCTAGCCGCAGGTTCTACGTAAAGAGTGACTACATGTCTACATGCTCATATAAAAAGAACCAGGTAACGTAACAAAAGAAATACAGTTTTAAGTATATCAGTAACAGTTGTGTACTGTACAAAACACGCTACCTCGGCGACTACCTCCTCATCTATCTATTAACCACCAAATCAAACGGAACAATTGCCATAACTCTGAGACGCGGATATCCTGCTAACCGAAATCTTACAAGGTGTTACGGGTGGTGTCCGCGCGGATACGGTTGTAGTCGAGGAGACCCTCAACGCTGCCGAAGGCGCTCACAGCGACGTCCTGATCCCAGATGCGGCGGTTGGCGAAGTCCATGACATCCTTCTCGCTGATCTGGCCGATTGTGCGCTCAATGTCCTCGGGGGAGAGGCGGCGGCCAGTGGTGATGATCTGGCGACCAATGTCTTCGGCGACGGCAGTGGTGCCGTCCAGGGAGAGGAGGATGGAAGCCTTGAGCTGAGCTTGGCACGCTCAACCTCGGCGGAGGTGACGTTGAAGCACAGGCGAGACCACTCACGCATGGCGAAGTGAGTGAGGTCGTCGAGGGCGGTCAGGTTCTCAGAGACCAGGTAGATACCCCAGAGACTAAAAAAAAAAAAGAAAAATCGTCAGCGATACAATCAAACGGTCAGGTCGCAGACTCTGCGAGAGAAAGACTTACCCAGTGTCGCTGTAGCTGGTGGAGAAGCTCATGAAGCTGTTGGCAAGGCCGTGGTGCTCAACGAGGGAGCTGAGCTTGCTGCCGAGGTAGGGAGAGTTGCCCATGGCACGGTCCCAGTTGCCAACAATGGCCTGGGCGACGAGGGCAGTGAAGTAGTCATCGTCCTTCCAGCTGACACCCTCAACGGCGAGGGCAATGTGAGCAGTAGGGATGGTGTCATCACGGAGTCTCACTTCGGATCCAATGAACTCGGGGGTGCGCTTCTGCTCAGCGGTGAGAGCGAGAGCGGCAGAGGTAGGGGGCTTGCTGGGGAGGGTGCCGAAGTGCTCCTCGGCGAGGCGGACGAGCTGCTCGTGAGGGATACCACCGGCACCAACAAGGACCATGCGGTCAGCAGTGTAGTTGGTCTTGATGTAGTCGACCAGGTTGTCGCGGGAGATGGTCTGGATGTTCTCCTTGGGGCCGAGGATGGTGCGACCGAGGGGCTGGTTCTGGTAAGCGGTGGCGTGAAGGTGGTCGAAGACAACCTCCTCGAACTGCTTGTCAACCTCCTCCTGCTCACGGAGGATCACGTCCCTCTCACGCTCAATAGCACCGGGCTCGAGCTTGGAGTTCTGAAGGATGTCGGCGAGGATATCAACGGCCTTGGGAACATCGTTGTTGAAGGCCTTGGCGTAGTAAACGGTGTTTTCTCTCTGAGTGCCTGGTTAGTTTCCGAGCCAATTCTGGGTTCTATCATCATCCCGGGTCGTACCGATGTGTAGGCGTTCAGGTGAGCGCCCATGTTCTCGATCTCAAGCTCCAATTGGTGCTGGCTGCGCTTGTTGGTGCCCTGGAAAACTGTCAGATACATGTCCAATGCTGGGGTTTGAGCGAAAGAAGTACCTTGAAAGCAAGGTGTTCAAGGAAGTGCGCGGTTCCGTTGGTCTTGTCAGTCTCTGCCCTGCTGCCGGCATCGATCCACACGCCAACAGTCGAGGTCTGGGCCCATGGGGAGTACTCAGTAGCGATCTGAGACCAGTTAGTGATATTGCGAAGCGATTGAGCATACTTGTTTTCCGTACCGTGAAGCCGTTAGAGAGGGTGGTCGACTGGGTGGTGGATGGGAGGGTGACCGGGGAAGAGAAGCCTCGCTTGACGGGCTGGATGGACTTCAGAGCAGCCCGGCTCCGGAGAGCCTGGTTGAAATTGAATGCTAGGCGCCGGGAGGCCATTGTGACAAGAATTAAGGTGGATGTGGAGGGAAGGGGAGGGATGATGCAAAGGTGCAACGGCTGTAAAGACGGTCAGCCCTGGAGATGAGAGGTTGAAGTTCGGGAGTCAAATTGTTCGCCAGCCCGTCAGCCAATCACATGACCCGCTTTTCCAAACCACTGTTTTCGATCCCGACTGTTCCCTAACGCTCGATTCGGCCGTCGAACCGCGACAAGCGATTCAACATGGGGTTCTTCCATGCCACAAACACTCCTGACACTTATCCTGATGACGTCCCAGGAACTCTACTAATCTACGTATTCTTTTAAATTTCACAGGAGAAAAAATATTCACATTCGCGGTCATACTAAATTTACAAAACACTCACCCAGGAGCCTCACGCAAACCGACTCGCATATTGCCTGATATTCTCAATCATAGGAACATCCTCCGAAAATCCCAACTTGATCGCACGATCCGTCTTGAAATTAGGCGTCCACGTTTGCACAATCTTGTCAATAGCGGCATCGTACTTCTCTTCCACCAATGCCCTTCGTTCCTTGCCACCAATCTCCTCCAGCGCATCCAGCATTTCCTGAATACTGACCTTCAATCCCGGGAGATTGACAGACCTCGACTCCCCAAAGGCCTCCTTCGGGATGTCCTTCGCATGTACAAGATTCTTCACCACCGTATAAGGCGAACAGATCCACATCTCCGTCTCCTTACTGACCGGAAGAATCGCCTTGTTCCCGTTAAATGGCTCCCGGATAATGTCGCTCGCAAAGCTGCTCGCTGCCTGCGTGGGCTGGCCAGCTCGAACAGTGACCGTTGGGAGACGCACTGCTCTACCATCCAAGAACCCTCTCCTCGAGTAATCGTTCAACAATGTCTCGATGATGAGCTTCTGCGATCCGTATGAGGACGACGGCACAGGCGGGAAGTTTGTCTCGTCAATGACGAACCCAGTAGGCGCAAGACCGTAAACCGCCAAGCTGGATGTAAAGACCACTTTCACTCCCGGCATCACAGCCCGAAGTCGGTCCAGGATATATCGGGTGGCATCGAGGTTGACCCGCATGCCCAGCTCGAAGTTGGCCTCGGAGCCGCTGGACATGATTCCGTGTAGCAGGTAGACTGTGTCGAAACGGTGAGACTCGGTGAACATCTCGTCAACCACCTTCGGCGACGTGAGATCCGCTTGCACACATTTCACTCGCGACGTATGTTGAGCAGCGACAGCAGCGGGGACTGCTGGTGTGACAATGTCTGTGAGCGTTACCGTAATATCAGGGGAGCTCGAAAGGAGGGCGGAGGCTAATTCCTGGCCCACGTAGCCGTTTGCACCGGTAATGATAATCGACATGTTTGGTCTCTTACTCTTGTAATGATTTAGAAAAAGAACCAGGAAGATGTAAGCACAGGATACAATCCGCGGGGTATATATACGAGGTCTCACGAGATTGCCTGAAATCCCACGAGAGAGTTACCGTGACTAAATAGCGACTATCCCAGCCGTGAACAGACTGCGGGGTCAGACGGAGAGATTAATCCTGAGCGTGGGATTATCCCCGCTCTCGGTCTTTGCAAGCCCCTATCATCATTGTGGTGTCAGTTACGACAGGCGGTGCTACGCAGCAATTCCGAAGGGACAACGTCCTGTGGTCGTAGTCGGAGAGTAATCCGATTACCGAACCGCTGAAGCGTCGAAAACTCTATAGAAGCAGGACCGGACCAACGGCGAAAGTCCGAGAAACCGCAACGCAGTCAACTTCATATGCCGCTGACATAGGAATAACCTAGGCATTGAGTGCTCTGGGTAACAGTGTGAGCTTCAAACAAATTATCTCTCTTCTGTTTTGCCAAGACGCAATGGACATTCTGCAGAAGTGGGCAGAACAGAAGACGGCAGATTGTCACACCTTCCCATGGCCGTAGCATGATCAACCCGAGTTACTGTCTAAGAATGATGGCAAGAAATCTAGGTAATTAAGAAACATATAGTTCTCTATTCCTTTCCAGACAGCCAGCTAGATCCCATACTGAACACAATAGAGTAGTCGGAATCGGAAACATGAATATTTTCTGACTCAAAAAGTACATTCAGAAGAAACCTCGAGATAGCACAAAGAGAAACATTTCAGCATATCACAGAACACTTGACGCCAGAAAAAAAAGCATAATAGATTAAGACATGAAAAGAGACCAGACCCCCATTTTCTTTTATGCAGAACGCTTGTAGATACCAGCAACGATACAGTGATCACGTTCGAAAGGCTCCAGAGTCAACTGCTCCTTGGGCTTGATCCTCTCCTCTCTCATCTTCTGGACTTCGCGGGTGAAAACAACCTCCGGCTTGGCGGTACTGTCGATACAGTTGGCCTTGACGGAGACGATGACACCGCCACCCTCCTTGAGGAACATGTGAGCGTTCAGACCAACAATACGGGCCTGGTCGGGCTGGGCAACATCGGCGAAGATAACGTCAACCATAGGCACCAGCATACGGTAACGAAGAGGGTGACGGGCGTCGTCAACAATGGGGACGACGTTGGTACGGTGGGTGGCCATGCCGATCAGATCACGACCGGAACGGTGAGAGAACTCGACGGCGTAGACGTTACCAGTAGGTCCAACGATATCAGCAACGTGACTGACGGAGGTACCGCTGGCAGAACCAAGGTACAGAACCTTAGAGCCAGGCTTCATGTAGATATCATCAAGACCACCCAGGACACCAGCAGCAAGCTTGGAACGGAAAGGGTTCCAGACACGGTACTCGGTCTTGGTGACGGTACCGTCCTCGGTAGGGGTTTCAACAGCAATGCGCTTCTCGCCGTAGACAGCCTCTCCGGGGGTCAGGTTCTTGGTGACGAGCAAATCTTCCTTACCGCCACGGGCGACGAAGATACCGGCATGACGGTGGGGCTCCTGAAAAACGACCGGAGTCAGCTGCTGGGATCCTTGTAACATAGCGAATTATGAAGCACTTACAATGATGACCTTGGCACCACCCTTAGCACCGCCGCGAGCACCGCCGCGAGCGCCACCACGGCCACCGCGACCACCACGTCCAGGAGGGCCGCCACGTCCACCACGACCTCCACCGCGGGGTCCACCACGGCCACGAGAGGCACTTCCGAGTCCGCCTGTACATCATCGTAAAGAGATCGTATTAGCTATAGCGCTCTCCTCAAGGGCACAGCAGCTCGAGCAACTGTCGCACATATCGCTCTCCGTGGCGAAAGAGATCTGACAATGATTCATAGAACAGATTCAGGGGCCAATTGGAGGGCGACAATGCTGAGCTTCAAGGTATCTGCTTGCTGTCCCAAATGGAACTGATCGTGAACAAACCTCTGCCACCACCACGGCCACCGCCGAATCCACCACGTCCACCACGACCACCAGGGGGTCCACCACGTCCGCGAGGAGCACCGAAGCCCATTGTGTTATATGAATCGAATAGGATCGACTTTAAAGTGAGGTTGAATAGGTCTCGAATGGGGTTGCTGTACTAGCAACGAAAGCAAAAGAAATTTTCCCGGGGGGAAGGAATGAAAGCCGCTCGATATGGGCGAAGCTGTAAATCGCAAGTGTCACTGGACCTTTCGAAGCAGCTGGTGCAGAATTATCGCACTTGCACTTGCTTTCAGTAATCGGTCGAGGCCGTGCTGCTTGTCGTTGTTGCGGTCGAGATTTTTCATGAGTGACCGGCGGAACTTTGAAAATCAGAATGCGCTAGTCCGCATGGGGACTAGACCCCGGTCTCTCTGTCGTGGGAACTTCAAGTCACGTGGCGTGGATAGATAGCGAGATCACCTGATTCGTACAAGCCCTGCGCCAATTGGATTTTGGGACGAGAATCGTGGAGACATTTGACGGTGATGGTTACTACAGGTATGCTCCGAATTTGGTCATGATTCTAGAAACACTCATATGAATATACCTGGCTTATAAACGCCGCGATTAGGTCATGACAAATCAAATAGCATTCCAACCCCCAATTATGTACATTATCGAGTCTCAGTAACCACCGTCATTTCCCATAAAAATAGTAATTTGCAGCATATTGGACAGTAAACTCCGATGGCATGTCCTTGCATGTCTTTGGTGGCGATCCCGCCGCAGTGTCCACCCGGTATACGCCGGAATAGTCCCCTACTGTGCCACTCGTGGCTGAGAGATAAAGCCATGCAACAGCCCCATTGTTCCCTTGAAAAGCATTCGACGGCGCATCAACCTGTGCCTCTTTCTTTGTTCTTGCAATGCCATACTGGTGTGTTGCCGTGGTGTCGAGGTTAAACACGGGTGTTGAGCCGTCAAAGAAGTGGTGACCCATCAAATCCAGATTTGCCGGCGGAAGGCGATCTGAGTCACTGTTTGGCAAGGGTATCCGGTATGCGATGTTCGGCAGCATGGTAATCATATCCGAGAAGCTTCCTGCGATGCAGGTAGCGTTGTAGAGGTTTGCAACAGCGCCCACCGCTACAGGTGTCGAGTTTGAAGATGGTGTCGCACAGGTATAGTTCTGGCTGATGTTAGTTTTGGTGTGGTGGCCTGCGAGGTGAAGTTGAATTTGACTTACCTGCGTACCGCGCCCCAGTGCGACGTATAGAAGCTTCTGGCCTGAGGGAGAGGGTAGTCCGGATGCCTGTGCTGGCAGTTCAATGCTAGACGTATCACACGTGGCCGAGTTGAGTATATCCTTAGAGTGCTCGATATGTTTGCTCACTCTCCCCAGGAACTCCGACAAGTCGTTAGAGAAGTTGTATGCATTGTCGAAGAATGCCGGTGCCGCCAACGAACAGGCTGTTAGACAAGCAATAAATACAAATGATGAACGCATTTTGGATGCTTTAGCCAGCCAGCGGCCACAATCACAACAATGGTTTATGTAAATTAATGTATAAAGACGACAAAAACTGTGTGGGTGGAAGTTGAACAAGATTCGAAGGGACAGGATAGGCTCTTCAGAGGCCCAGTTGGTAGACGTAGGATAGATCGAGGAGCCTCTTCGTGACTATCAAAGTCGCTCGAGGAGAAGATGGGAAAGGGAAAGTAAGCCAGCCCTAGACAATCGACATTCACGCTGAGTGGAAAGGGTATCAAAACGGAGATTAATTAGGAATTGAGAGTCAGACGATTTTCTCTTGCTTTGTCAAAGTCGAGGGCGCTCATATATAATGATGATATGCTCATGTTTGTCCCCGGTGTAACAATATGCACAAGTCATACAGGCAACCCTCCAGTATTTGAAACTCGAACTGTAGTATCTATAAACATCATCGAGTGAGATCGTCGCAGAAGCCGCCAACAAAAAGTATATTCGATGGGGCGTCTTAATTGGTGTTTAGCATGCGCTGACCGCAATCCTTCAACCTGACCAAGATCACTAGTTTGATGCTGTACTATGTAAAGGACAGGGAGTGGGCGGGCGGCTATTGCTACCGCATACCGGGCCTCGTTCGAGCATGATTGGCGCATCTAGCCACTGAAACTGGATCTAACACAATCTGTCGGAGCGCTACATGTGGCAGGGAATCCGATGAGCTGATTCGTGAGGCTTCCTGCAGGTAAATCTCCGAATAATCTTAGGATCTAAATATATCGGTCGGCGGGCAGGCCGGGCGCTTAAATGACTGCCGATGTTGGTTAGTGTGAAGAACGCAGAACTGGGATATGGCGGGGCATTTCTTCATCAGCCGACCCCAACCCTGTCAGAACGGCAATTGCTATCGTTTGAAATTAGATTCTTGCCATTTTTAGGGTGGACCTTAACCATGGACAGGTCGACTGGCTCCTATCCAATACTACTTGCGCTGGTCCTTACCGTAACCTTCCCCGCGTCATGGCCACTCCAACGACCGTCAGTCTCGGTCTTCCGAAAAGCTTAACGTATTAATCTTTCTAAATATAAAAACATTACCTGCAGTAGTGTGATCACGGGTTATTAATAACTACTGAGGATTGTAACGTGCCTCTAACGTTGCTTTGCCGGTTCTTAGTGCCGGCGTACATCCATGACCAGAATAGCGCAAGTAGAGAAGTTACTCTAGTCGCGGTGGCTCCTCCGTCGAACGGCTTCCTTGCTGGCGGGGCAGTAGTTGGTGGGAAAACGTGTAAAGTCGGTGGTCTCGTCTATACTACTAACCCTATCTCATTATGCACTGGGTGAAAGATATATGTATTTGGTAGGTTTGGAATTGTCATTGCGTCTTTGTGGACACTTTTTTATGATCAGATTAAAGTCATAAAACAAGAAGACAATGAGAAGGGAAAAGCTTGTACCTGAGTATATGCTTGTTGATGTGTACAACTTGTGCATGAGTAGGAAAATTAACGTGTATGATGAATCATGTCAACTTGGCAGAGCATATTACGGAAATTAAAGAAGATTTTGAGTATGTAACCATGACTGAAGTCTGGGGGCAAATTGAAAAAATCTGAGCAAGGAAAAACAACTAAAAATAGAATAAGAATTAGAAAATAAAGGAGAAAGAAAAAGAAAAAGAAAGAAAACAAAAGCGAGAAGCATTAAAAATTGGCAGAGACAGTACTAGGGTCTCGAGGAAATCATTCCATGGGATGCTGGCATTGCTGTTTCCATTTCAGAAACCCGGACGTTGAATCGAAGTCGGGTGCTTATTTATCAGCCAGGAAATAAACTGACTGATAAGAGAATTGCACATGGGTGGGTGTCCATGAGTGTTTTCGGAATTCAATCACAGACATACTGGAGAACCAGAGTCAAGGTAGAACTCGATGCCGCTCGTAGGACTAGATATCTGATAGCTGTAGAAATATCTCCCCAAACTCATATCGGATACGATATCGAGTGCTCCGGTCTTTATAGTCCTCCTGGTGGACTGATAAGAAACCTTTAGTTGCAAGTGTGAGTATATGCATCAAACCCTGTGTGGCTACGGATGGAGAGGTTTCAGCCGGTGGCAGAAGTGCTGAGAAACAGATTGCTTTGCTGCCATGAAAGGCGGACAGCGAGTTGATGAAACCCTCTTCATCTAGTTCTTCAGCATGTTCCCCGGGCATGATCTCGAGCTTCCTTGTTAGAAACCCGAGGAAGTTCAGGCTTTCTTGGTCCAGGCTGGACTGCGATAGGCGATCTTGAAGAGTCGGCTGACGACTGTACGTGTTTGCGTTGGCGTCGTCTCCAGTGTATCCATGGTCATCGCCGAACAGCTCAGTCTGTAAATAATGGCTCAGATCAAAGTCATTCAAGACGTCCATGTCATCATTTCCGGGTAACGTCAAGCTGTCGAAGGCCTCTGCGTCGAAGGGGATACCTCTGCCGGCAAGGGGACTCGCGCTAGTTAGACGGTTGCGTGATTGTCCGCGACCAGCAAGGTGAGACGCAGTGGGGTCCCTGCCTCGTGAAGCCGAAGGATCGCTCACATTTGCTACACCACGGAGGCCACTTGTAGCAGATGACCCATGCTGAGAGCTCTGAATAGAAGCTGTGATATTCCATGGCATCTGAGATGAGAACGAGTTGTCATCGCGAAAGACGGACGGGGCATGGCGACCAATTTCAACCTATATATCTTTGTTAGAAATATTCAATTCAACCATATGTACAAGAGTAATGGCATACCTCTTTCCAAATACCATGGTTGTCGACCACCTCGCCTCGACCGACTTGTTCCTCATATTCTTCTCTGGCACGGACAGACTGCACATCAGAGCCTGCTTCACTGTCATCATGATGATGGCTCCGTTTTCGCCCCTTGTGTCTTGCAGTTGGGTCGAGAGCACCATAGAGCTCTTCTCCTGAGAATTGCTGCAAAGGATGTGGTACCCGAGATGCACCCAAGCCAAGCCCAACTGAACCAATTCCTTGACCAAAACCCAGAGGCGGCATTCTTTTTTGCTTGTGTTGGAAGTTTGTTCTGTCGTTTCTGCTTCAAGGCTATAGCCATATTCTGCACGTAGTCGCTGTTCAGATTGCCCAGGTCTGTGTTTCTCAAGGCAGTTCGGTCATCCAATGTTTGTAATCTAGGGGCTCGTCGTTTCTGGGGCATAGTCACCGCAACCTCATCTGAAATAACTTTAAGTTCATCAGTTGACTCGGAATCACTGCGGCGTCTTTTAGTAGCTCGACTGGCTTGGATTGGCCTCTCATCCTGATGCTTGGCGGTAGTATCTATTTCTTCGTCGATTGGCATTTGCTAAGTAAATAAGATCAGAAAATGCTCATCTCTGGGCCAAGTAGACCATACCTGGTATTCAAATGTGGAATCATTCAATCCATCATTTGCCTCTTCACCTAGAAGTGGTGCTTCACTAACGTGTCGACTCGGCTTACCTTTTGCAGTTTGGCGATGCGCCTCCCCAAGCTCAATGAGATTTCCATCCTCGTCAAATTCGAAGTCAGGCTGAAGAAGATACCACCTTCTTCAGCGAAGGTCGTAGCTGTGAGGCCGCCTAGATTGATGCTTCTTTGAGCAGAGCTAGGTACATTGGTGTCGGAGTCACTCCCACCAGCATTTCTCCCTATCATATCATCGTATGAGAAACTAAAGCGTAGGCTAGGGCTCCTTGAAAGATCAGACTGGCTGAGGTCTGGAGTCTTCGGCCATAAGAGGCCGGAATGCTGACTTGTAGCAGGGTCAAAAGGCAAACTAAGTTTAGAGAGATCCATTCCCATCCCGGGGAGGTCGCACTCTGGCAAAAAGGACGGGTCGTAAGGTAAGACAAGCTGATCAGGTCTAATATTTCATCACATCAGCTTATACTTCGAGATCATTATTGACACACCATTTCTCTGAGTTACATACCTAGTCTTCCCAGCAGTTGGATCTAGTCCACCCCCGGGTAGGACTTTCAACAGTGTTCGCATTTTATCGTGCATTGCCTGGACATCCGTAAGAGCATAACCACACTGTTGGCTGTATACTCGTGAGACTCCATAGCTATATGAGCTATTAGCTGCTAAACTAATGTCTTGACGTTGACTAGAAATCGTACAGCAGATTGCCCTGGAGCCTCAGCGCCATTGGCGCCTCCGGGTCCATGATAACATGACAGGCTCTCGGAACGTCGACATCCAATATAGTCTTCCTATTGAGCTTCTTGCTAATTGATTTTGACCCCAGGGTTGCAATCAGCCTGTAAGCAAAACGGTGTGAGCCAAGCATGAGGATATGGGCGGCTTTTTATCGGGCAGGTTGTATACCATATCGTGGCGACCCCATGATCGGGCGACGTAAGCACTAGGGTGAATTAACATGTCAGTAAGAGTTCGATGCTACTGCCAATGGACACTGAATGTCTCAAAGACATGTAGTGAATACAAGCCGCCCAGCGGGGTGAATCACGAAGGACGTTTCTTACTTTCATGACTGTAAAACATTTTGAATTCTCACAATCTTGTAAAACAAGATAGTGATAGAAGTTCCCAGTCTTAAGCTTCTTCTCAGATTCCACTTTTTCCTTCGCAATATCACGCGTTTATGGTCGATCACGCGTTGAATGTGATCGACATATGTTAACCGAGTCGCAGAGACGTAATCTTCGTGGGTTGTGCTTTATATCCGAGTCTGCTTCGGTATGCTATGGTCCGATGATACCAAGCCTGCACTATGAGATAACAATAGTTGAGACAGACAGAATGCTAGGCTCATCACTTACCAAGCCAAGATGTAGTTGTCTTACATCAATACTTGAGATGAAAACCGGGGGAAGAAAGAACTCGTTAAGTTGCAAACATGGAGTTTACTACTGTTGAATGCGGTCTGGAAGAATTGGTAAGGTTATGGAGAGAGGATGATACATTTAAAAGCATGGACTTGGGGAACTACAGAAGCCCTGAGAACAACAATGGCCGCAATGGGGATCCTGAGGCCGCTAGGACACATGACCGCCAGGATGCTCAGGACAATTAATCGGAGCTTGATAGAAAGTATGATAAATACGAAGCTGGATTATACAAATCGATCACTGAAAATAAGAACGAAAGATCAGTACTATACATACCACCATCCTAGAAACGATTTACAGACCACTCCCTTATATCCGTATCAGAAGCACCGAAAGAAGAGAAAAGAAAAAGGCAACGCGAGATATAAGAGCCAATACACCGAAGAACTATGGGACGAATTGCTTTTGATCCTCCTTCTATTCTTTGCTTCGAAAAGCACCGATCCCCTTTGCAGGCACGATATAGTATTCCTTCTCCATGCAGGTTGAGAACAAGGAAACCGGAGACATCTATGAGTGGGAAACCAAGTATTCAAGAAAACATAAGGCATGATTAAGTTGGCTATGGAGATTGAGGCAAGAGACCCTTTGCGGAGTATCACCGACCCATAGCAACCGATGAGAGACACCCGGGGTATGAGACACGCGAGAAAGATGACACCATTGTTCAATTCAAGAAACGAAAATCCTCGTCCACGAAACAGTTCATATACCTACACTCCCGCTATATTGAGGATATAGGGACAAGTATACTAAAGATTGTTTACTCCAGAGGGATGCCCTGGTACTCGCCATATCCGAGAGCGAGGTTCATGTTTTCTGCCAATAGTTAGCACGGTATAAATTAATGATGACAGGCAAATAGTAAACTTACGGAGGCACTGAGTAGCTGCGCCCTTCAGCAGGTTGTCAATGGTAGCACACACCACTGCGCGCTTGCCACTAGAGTGAACAGCGAATCCACCAACTTCAACACCATGGCGACCAGCAATGTTCTTCACCACCGGGGGCTCGCCGATGATCTTCACAAGCTTCTCACCAGCATAGCGTTCCTGGTAGATGTTGCGAATATCACGGGAGGACATTTCCTCCTTGAGAGGGATGCTGATGGTTTGCTAGATGGAGTTAGTTCTGCTACCGAATAACAATCGAAAACAACAAGGGAAAGAAGCAAGGTGATAAGTGAACATACATGAATGCCCTGGAACCAAACAGCAACATGAGGAATGAATGCAATGTTGGTGCCAAGCTGAGAGCTGATCTCCTTCTCGTGGATGTGATCGGTCAAGCTGTAAGGGATGATGTTGTTGGTAAGGTTCTCCACGTCGTTCTTAGGGCTTGGCTTGGTACCAGCGCCCGAGTATCCGGAAACACCAAAAACGGTAGGTTGTCCACCGAGGTGAGGGACAAGGGGAGCAATTGCAACCTGGGCCGCTGTTGCGTAGCAACCAGGGTTGGCAATTCTGGATGCCTGGGCGATTTTAGAGCGGGAGACCAACTCAGGCAGACCGTAGGTCCAGTTGCTATCGAAACGGTAGTCGGCGCTCAGGTCAACAATGACATTACCCTTCTCCGAGCCTTGGTCGACAGCCTCAACAAACGGCTTGCAGACACCGTTAGGCAGAGCCATAACCCAACAGTCAACATCGCCATTTGCAGACATGCGCTTGACATCCTCAGGGCTAAGGTTCTCGTAGATGATCTCTCTCTTTTCATAACCTTGCAACTTCTTGCCAGCCAGCTCGCGAGAAGAAACGTGGCGCAGATCCATGTGGGGGTGGGCATTGAGCAGGTTAATCAGGGCTTGACCAGTGTAGCCACGGGCTCCAATGAGAGCAACCTTGGACGGCTGGGTGTTCGACATGTTCTTCTCGCCAAGGGGTGGGTTAGGGTTAGTGGAGTAAGCCCGAGCCGAGTTCTTGCTGAAAACCGAAGGGCGTCCAAACCGAGAAGATCGCAGGGCATTGCTACTGGAGGAGAATGCCCGCTTCTGCTCAGCGGAAGCACCGCTGGCGCCAAAGCCCTTGCCAATGTTGGTGGCGGCCGCGGCAGCGCGGTGCAACCTCGACTCGAGGTTGATATCACCGAACATCTGGCGGCCATGCTCATTGAACTCCTGGACCAACTGCTTAACCTCTTCACCGCTTTCAATACCGTACCAGAAGAGGACCTCGCCCTCGCGGCTCAGGCTACCATCGGCCTTGTCGAAGAACCAAGTCAGGTTCTCGTCGTCCTCCTTAACAGTCCACACAAGCTTGGGGAAGTCCTTCTTGATGGAGGCAAAAACATTGTCGGCCACGTTAGTCAGCATCCCGACTTGGTAATGGTGAAAGTAGCCAAGTGAGCCAAGGGGGAAGAAGCATCCTGCTGGGGAGGCAAGACAACGGCCAAGGCCTCCATGGGCTCATCAAAGTACACCTTGAAATCGCGCTCTTTCAATCCTTCAACGTAGCGCTCCACGGTGGCGCGGGCATCCAAGCCTTCCCGGTCGCGGATCAAAACATCCTTCAGCTTGTCCAGGTCCTCAAACTCCGAGATAGAAGTCTTGATGTGTACCTTGTTGCCCCTGCGGATCAAGGTACCCGCACCAGAGTCCGTGAAGAGCTCCTTCTGCAGATCGGCTGGGTGGATAATGGCAACGCTCGAGGTGCGAGGAAGATCACTGAGAAGTTCCTTCATCTCCTTAATCTTCAGACGGGTACCGTGACGCACCCACCACTGGGTCATCAAGTGGTCGTACTCCTCGTCGAGATTGATTACGGAAATCTTCTCACCCGTGTCACCGTTGAAGAGTCCACCCTTCTCAGCAAGGTAGACAATCTTGAGCGGCTGGAGTGCACGCGCCAACTCGCCGGCAGCCACATCGGCGTTGACATTCAGAACCTGACCATCTGGGGTCTCGGCCATGGAGGTCAGGATAGGGAGACAGCCAGATTCGATAGCAGATTCAATTGGCTTCTTGTTGACACCATTGATCTTGCCGACCAGGTTATACTTCTCCTTGTCGAGGTAATCGGCTGAGAAGACACCCGCAGTGAGAGGGCGGGCCCTCACTCCCATGCGTTCCAATTCTTCGGTCAGCTTCAGATTCTCCTCCAAGAAGAGCTTCCTAGCAAGAGCCAGGGTCTTGCCATCAGTCACACGGATACCATCCTCGAACTGCGGCTCCACACCGGCGTCTTCCAACATGCGATTCAGTTGAGGTCCGGCGCCGTGGACAACAATCGGATAAAGTCCGACATGGTTCAGGAAGGCGAGAGCAGAGGAAAGAGTCTGGAGGTGTTCGGTGATGATGGCACCGCCGACCTTGATGACAGCGAACTGCTGAGAGGAAACCGACGTAAAGTGAGAGAGGTATTGCTGAACCTCACGCTTCGAGCCGATATTGCTCAACAGCTGGACGACCGTGGAGCGAGTCGACGAAAGCTGGGGGTCAGCGGCGCGGGAATAATGACGACCCTGCAGCAACGGGACGGCGGAAGCCTTGAGGGAGTTACGAGCGCCTAGTCTCGCGGAGGAAACGGCGTGTGGTGCGGAGAAGGCTCGGAGGGGCTTGCTGGTTGAAGCTCTCCGCACGGCGGTACGAAGGGAGAACATCTTGCCAACCAGCATGCGGCAGCTTCAAGGCCTATGTCTGGGAGTCTGGGGAGGGAAGGGGGGGCGAGAAGGTCAGTATTTCAAGAAGACGAAAGACAAGGCCGGTGGTATGAGTAATAAGTAGTGAGGGAAAAAGAAAGTAAAAGTGGAGTTGTTGCGGGCTTTCAGGAATTTGCCGCACCCCAAGTCCCAAGAAATCAATTGTATGGGAAGACTTTATCGTCGGCCATCCGCCCTCGGAGTGGCTTTTTTGCTTCCTTGGGTCCTTACATGTTCGGGGGCGGTCACTCACTAGCGTATTTTATTTTGGCCTTCGTCACGCCCTGGTATTTCCCTCAATCACGAGATTTCCGTGCCCAAAAGCCAACAGGAAACGCCAGTGTTGACACTGAGGGATTTGCAATAACCACTGAAGGAGAACAGAGTAATCAAGGAGCAGAACCCGGTGGCAGCAGAGTGAGAGTCAGCAGGAAGGAGAGAAAATTGGTCGATCGGCAAGTCAATACTAGCACGCCCGGTACCTGAATTGGCTTTGCGACTTTCGGAGCCGATGATTATTATGTGAGCGGCGTGACTCAGAGAAACGAAAATGGCAATGAATCACAGAAGCGTTCTATCTCACTCTTTTTTGGGCCCCAACGGTCTCCATCCCACGTAATGAAAATCATGATATTGCAGGATGCCGTGGATCTCCCCCCAATCAGTTAGCACCAGCCGACTTTATTAGGATTATCAGATCTCGCCTGGGTGTTTTACAACTCGGTTCTTCACGTCCCACAGCGAATAAACGTCGCTCTTTCCCCTCAGAATGGAGCTCGATTCATGTCCCATCTTCTGGTGTCCCCCCGTAGTGCACTGGGTCCTTCGTTATCTGATCGTTTACCTAATATATCAAACCGGCCTAAGCAGTTTGATCCACTCCTCCCTACTCCGTAGTCAATAGGTCAATAACCTGCAAGTTTTGCTCCGAAGACCCCAGCCGTGAACTAGCATTTAACCCTTGCACTCCGTACCCACGGGAGTATATACCCTAAATGTCACTAGCAACCTAGAGCAAATATACTTCGGTCTTTACTTCATGACTGGTGCTGCAATAACCGAGAGACGCGAGCTGTTACGACGTAATGAATCCATGGGTATGAGAGGAAATACACACAGGGTTATTCATTAAAGGCTAGGGAACGACACACAAAGGAAAAGTCACATAAGAAAAAAAACAAAAGGAAAAACAACAAAAATCGCGCTCGCATACTCGAGCTCGAGAAAACAGCAGAGTATCATTTACATCTTCACCGTCGACGTATCATAGGGCATGGCCTCGTCCGATATTCAATCGGCTCATAGCGTCAATGGCGTATAGAGACAAGAGTTTAGTCGTGAGAACCAACATGGCGGACGCCCGAGAAAAACAGGAGGTATTAGTGGCTGAAATCGAAGCTTCACCGTCTCAAATACAGATAAACCAGCTGAAAAAAACATCCATTCCCAAGACAAACGTGACCGTCACTGTGTTCATTAATGCTTGGTGGCGACAACTAAACGTACACCAGTTAGCGCATTTAATCGTATTTTCCGTGCAGGAAATACACCGGGTGGGAGGACAGAAGGTAGGGCTTACCGGCAGGCACAATAATAACCACAAGCAAGAGGATGACACAAATCACCAAGCATACGCGCATCTTCATGTCTTTCCACCACATTTGCTTCCGCACGCGGTTCGCACCCCTACGGAAACCCTGAGCCGATACGGCCAGGTTATCGGTCTTATCTTGTAGGGAGTCTAGACGTTCACCACGCTCGGAAACCTTGAAGATATTCGACCGCATCGTATCCACAGTCTCCTGGATTTTCTATTACAGCAGAAGTTTAATGTTAGCATGAGTTTCTATAATGTTCCATTCCGATAGAATAAGCGTAACGCCAAATATTAGGGTTGTATGCTGTATGCGATCATTGAGAATGCAAGTCTGGAAGGGAGACTTGAGCATAGACAGCCATCCACCCCTCGTACCACTAGAGAGAAGGATTCCCATAACGGATGTGATAGGGACAGCTAATCAACATACCTTGTCGATTTCCCTTGTCCTGGGATCGCCATTCTGCGCAGCACTAGCCCCGGCCGGGGCGTTGGTAGTAGAGCCAGAAGGAATATAGGGGTCGTAGGGTTGTTCAGACATGGTTGTTTGATGCGATAAATGCGAGGCGTTCAGAACTGAGATCGGGGAACCTGGTGGATCACCAGATGCCTAGCGGGAGGAAGGCGGAGTCTGCTGAATTCTCCTTTCACGGAGGTGCGAGAGATGAGGAAATATCAAGGACGTAGTATACGCGAACAGGCGTGCGATGAGAGCCTCGGGTGAACGGGCCGGATTTTTTGGGAGTCGGGTGGATGATGGATGTAAGGAAAGGGTAGGAAACGTTACTGGCGTGAAGCTGACAGGGTGTGATGAATCGCCGCCCGCCTTTGGAATTACGGTTGTTTCGGTTCTGTCGGGGAAACCATCACGTGATTCTGTCCTTTCAATAGTTATTGGGAAAGAAACGCCCAGGCAGCTATTTTTATAAGAACACCAATGGCGGACAAAGAAATGCGGGTTCAAATAAAGAAAAGAGTCCGTCCCGTCAAACAAGTTCTTTTTTGGAGGGAGTATCGTCACTCGTGTGCAGTGAAAAAGGCTGGTGGCCACCTTAAAATTAGCAAACATTCCTAGCAAGAGAGATCTCCATTAGGCACAATTGGGTCACTGACACCAATTGCCAAATCACTATGCCTAATACTACTATAAATATGTGTTGGCGTGGCTGAACCCTACCAATGCCGTGGCAAAGAGGCTGTGCCTTCACCAAACTGCCACAGCCTCACGTGGTGATCCACCATCATGCAGGTGTCAAAATCTCGAATGGAGGAATTGTATACAATTAAATTCTAATATCGGTGAAGCTATGAACGTAAATACAATAAGCTATATACCGAAATCACCCTCTATCTGAGCCATTTGAATCTCAGTTTCGCAGATTCAAAGCTTCGCACTCCTCTGCTTCTCAAAAGCCTCAACAGCTTTCAGACCATCCCTTTGCGCCTGATCCTTCTTGTCCTCCAACTGCTCCCTCCATTCCAGATTGGCAGCATGACCATCCAGGATATCCAGTGAGTGACGGTACATTTCCTCTTTCATGGTCCCATAGATGCCAGTGGCCGCTTTCTTCTGTAGTCCTCGCTCCCGGATAAGCGTCAAAACCTCTTCCAGGCCGCCCAGACCATCTACAAGACCGGCGTTGACGGAGTCGGGACCTCCGAACCGCTTGGCTTCGAGGATAAGGTTCCGGAAAGACGAGGGTGTCAATTTCTCCCGGAATATGCTCATCATGGGTGATTGGAGGGGGACTCCAAATTCCAACTCGTTGATGCACAGAAGACCCTTGGAGGGGTTCTGGATCCGATAGTCATGATACATGGCCAGCATGAGACCGCCGGCAAAAGCGTGTCCATTCAACAGGCAGATGGTAGGCATGGGATATCTGTTGCGGTTAACATGATATTCAGTCAAGGAAGAAACAGTGAGCCCATTTAGAGCTGTTACTAACGTCAGGAATCGGCGGAACAGCTTCCACAACCACTTGTCCAAGAAGCCCTCCGTGCTGAGAGCAAGCTCGAGATCTAGTCCATTGCTATAAAACTTGGGAATGCCACTGGTGGTAATCACCACGCCTTTGGGGTATCTGTGCTCGATAATATCCAATGCAAGTATGAAGGCTTCTATAAATGTCGGGGTGAGCCTGTTATCCTTCGGCGATGTGAAGGTGAGTAGGTAAATGTTCTTCTCCTTCTCTGAGGTAGTGGGGTTGGAGCAGACGAAGCTGCCGCCGGTAGACGAAATTGGAACGGTAAAAAGGGTCGTCATGGTCGCTGTATATCACTGAATATGTACTTGAAACAGATTGACTTTGAAAGAGTTATATACTACATGTAGATTCTAGGATATTTCTTGTTGAAACACATTTCCCCCAAAGATTAGCCGATGTCTTCCAAAGCCTCGGAAGTATAGTAATCAACTGACAACGGTAGTTATCACATGCTTGTAGTTTGTTTGCATCTTTTGCGTCACGTTTTTCTCGTAATTTCTTCCTTCTTTCACATTTCTTGTCCTTTGTGTAACACTTTTGGAGTACCAAATTCCATCAATTGGGGTGATAGCTCAGTTGGGAGAGCGCACGACTGAAGTTTCAACTTCATCTCAAAGACCACCTGGTTATCGTGAGGTCGCTGGTTCGATCCCGGCTCGCCCCATTTTTTTCCCTACCTACCTTTTAGGTAGGCATCAGGAGTTCATCGGTAGCGGCTTGCCCCATGGCTCGTTTGCTGTACAGGCTATCTTCACTCTACTCAATAGTTGAAAGATTACCTCTTTTCTATGTACTTTTTATGTCATTGTTTAGTAGTTCTTCATATCGTTTTGAGTATTGATACCCAACATTTACTCGATACACTGCTTCCACTTGTGCTACAGCAGACAGCTCCTGTCTCCCAGCAAATGAGTAAAAATAACCTCAATACCTATATGCCCAATAGCACCAAGGCTCCTGCCGGAAGTTGTGGAACATAGTCCTGATTGGAAGACCTTAGGCATGTTGGATATGCCCTACTACGACTGAGTAGTAAAGGGTCCATTGATCCGATCTGGTTATTGACGCCGAATGACACTAGTACTACCTTGGAAGTTACGACCTTCAGAGCCGAAAAGCCGAAGCAAATCTCGGAGATACTTGGGCGATCTCTATGCCCAGCTACATTACATTGTCAGGAGTGACAGTACCTTACTACCTGGTCAGTTTATGGATTCTATTCGGGGCACAGTCATTGTCACTCTGCTGCTACGGAGGCCGGGTAGGTAGCCAAAGCAATGCTGGAATCCTGGTCTATGACCGTCGTGTTTCTCGGTTCATCTGCTCCATGAGGCACGGGTTATGGGCTTCATTATATTATGCCCGTGGCTTGCCGGACTGACCTGGAGATTTCGTCATCACTGCTATCTCTTGCACACGTAAGACTCGACTCGACTCTGTATACTTTGGGTGATATTGTCCGAGCCTGAATATGCTGGTGTGAGTCTGTAAACTCCGAAGTATGAGGTTCTGGAGACATAAATACATAGCCTTCCCTGAGAGAACGAAGAACCTTGGCCTAAAATCTTCAGAATCATCCAATTCTATCTATCAACTCCCATCAGTCATCAACAGCAACATCCATAATGTCCAAGGAAGAAGTAGGTCCAATGCTTCATGCACCCGCATAGTACTATAATCCTTATAGACGCCAGATTATCGAGGCCAAGGCCAAGGCTCTCCATGAGCACATCTTCTCCAAGTCAGAGGATACCTACGCCGGCAAGCCCTGGGACCTGGTGAAAGCTATCAACACGTTTGCGGACGAAAGCCGCATGATGACTTTCAAAAACGCCAAGATCGAAGCTGCCAGGCAGCAAATAGAAAAGATTCAGCCACCCCCAAAGACTTTAATTGAATTTGGTGGATATGTCGGTGCCTCGGCCATCGCCTGGGGTGCCATTTTGCGAGAGCTTAACAATGCAGATAGCGCAGTTGATGTCAATGTGTACACATTTGAGCTGAGCCCTGTCAACGCCGGTATTGCGCGGAATCTCATTCGGTTAGCCGGCTTGGAGAGCACCGTGCATGTTCTCGAGGGACCAGCTGCAGACTCACTGAGGATATTGTTCGAAGAGGGGAAGTTGAACAAGGGGGGCGTGGATGTAGCCTTTTTCGACCACTGGGAGCAATTCTACCTCCCGGATCTGCAGCTTTGCGAAGATCTAGGCTTATTCAGGAAGGGCTCCAAGGTCATTGCTGATAACACAGATTTCCCAGGTGCTCCTGCCTATCTTGAGTATGTGAAATCTGGTGGAAGGCAGGGCGGGTCTTATCGTTATGAGACTGAGTCGATTGAGACTACCTCTGACCGTGGCCCAGTAAGTTACCCTGTCTGTACCTGAATATCTGTGTGGTCGTAGGTGCTGATTATTTACAGAGCATTGTTGAGGTTAGCAGTGTTGTTAATGATCAGTGATTGGTTCGTTGCTTGTCTGCTTATGGTCGATTCACCTGTGATTTGTAGACTTTGCTAGTTGAATATATGTACATTTGGGCTTTCTGAGTTGGATGGGACTCCCTTTCAGTTGGTCACATGAAGTTAATAGGCATACCATGTTAATGATGAGACATTACGGCCAACTCCGTTGTCTCTATCAGCTGGTATCGGTATGCAAGTACTGTACACATCTCACACGGGTGTAGTCTCTGCAGTAGGGCAAAATTAAGTGGTTATTGATGCTGTAATGTAGCGTACCCCACACATAGTCAGGGCTCATTTCCAATATGTCAAGGAGGTGGCACATTGGATGCCTTAACTCTTGTGTTGGATCGTCATGTGCGACCAACGCAATGACGACCCTGCTGGCTCGCTGGTTATATATAATTTGGGATTTTATTGCCCGTGTACGCCGATTTGTTGCTGATCGCTACCTGTGCAAATAAAATGGCCTCTGCAATGTATGAAAGTCGCCAGCCGACGTTCCAAGAATGGGCGGCTGCCACGGGTGTAGGCAACAGAGAGGGTTTCAGGAAAATGATTGAAGGACTTCATGAAGCAGCAGCAGATAGTATACCCTGGTTCGGTGCAGCTAGTTGAATCAAAAATAATGCGTATAAAAGCAAAAAGTAATGGGGCGAGCCGGGATCGAACCAGCGACCTCACGATCACCATGTGGTGTCTGGGACGAAGTTGAAACTTCAGTCGTGCGCTCTCCCAACTGAGCTATCACCCCCCATTTGATGAATGATGTGCTTTCATATTAGCATTATGATGCAGAGTCTAATGCTTGCACTTGCTCCACGAACATGGGTTCTTGTATCGATGGCTACCAGATGTAGTATACAAAGGTACATAGCTTGTTACTAGGACGCCCTTACTAACTATCTTGACTATATGTAAGCTACTTATCCTTGGTTCAACCAGAGTATGCTCATGGCAGAACCTACCGACCGTCCTGGTAGTGGTGAGAAATATATATCTAAGCTGGAATGAAATTCCCCAACGTGGGCTGGCTCATAGGAAATTAAACTGGGCAAGAACGAATCTGAATGCACGTTAATCTGTCTACCTTACCAAACATATGACCCTCGAATCGTGAAGCAGTTTTCGCTTCCAAAGAGTGACGTTGTAAGAAAGCCCAAATGACTTGGTGGTAGAAGCGATATATGTATGCAACGGCGATGCCGTTATCACTCGGAAATTTTATCTAGAGGTGGTCAATACCGATAGATGTGATCTCTCTCTATGCATGCTGGGACAGAAGATTGTCTGCTTTTGTAGTCCGTCTATCACTGAAACCTACAACTCACATGAGACCAGCGGCCATCACACACCACCCCTTCCTGCTATTTGCAAACAGGGTCGGTCGCTCCGCTCAACAACATAGCCGATCGGGTTAAGTCCCCCCAGGATCTCAATATCTTCATCGCTGTCCCACCTAGACTTCATCTTTACTACATTGTCTCCAGTTGTGGACTCGGCATCAAGAACGGCTACAATTAGAAAACGTGTACCTAGCTCGACTTAGAATACTGACCCCCTGGCTGAGTATGTCTTTCACAACTTTATCTTCGCTAGCATCACTTGCCCGTATATACCCTAGCAGCTCATGAGAAAATGCGGCCGCTATAGCCATAGGAGGCTCTTGCTAAATTTTATCCTTATGTATATATATCCGCGCAGTTACAGGTTCCTTATATGACGATACAAGCTGTTCATCAGCCCCGCTGCTTCCATCTCAGCGCAAAGAACGTTGCCACCAAGGTCCTTATTTACTTTACCTTGGCGATAGAGTAAGGCCTTAATGCACACATACACCTCGGATGAGTTTGTCCATAAGGGTCTTCTCGAGGTAGAAATAAGTTTGAATTTCATGAGAGAGAGGGCTTCTGAGGAGGGAGCTTCATAATTACATAGGGACTCCCAAGGGTACTAATATCTGAAGTAGGTTATTATGTTTGCGCCGTGGTAAACAGGTCTTAAAAAGATATACAGGAATTTTAATGGCTCAGCGCTCCAGAGCCGTATTACGAGAGTAACTGGGTCTCAGAAATGCTGATCATATGAGGATTCAAGGCCCATGCAGACTGTCTTGTAGAAAGAACCTCCTCCTCTACAGAGAGGAAAAAACACAAAAAGATATGGGGCGAGCCGGGATCGAACCAGCGACCTCACGATTACCAGATGGTGACTGAGTTGAAACTTCAGTCGTGCGCTCTCCCAACTGAGCTATCACCCCAATTGTTGAAGTTTAGCTTAAAATTAATGTACTACAAACCAAAACCGATGGCTGGGCGAAGGCCCTACACTGAGGCAGTTCCACCTCCGCATCCTATCCGCCCATACATTTCGGGGTGATCAGATAAACCATAATGATGCCATAAAACACTCCAGAAACCTAATCCCACCATCACCAATTCCCTGAGACCCCTGGTTTACCCAGGCGATGTCGCACAAATAATAGCAATCTGTCACCGAACTCAGATATACCTGTCTACCTAATCCCCACCCACCATGTCCGTCAAGCTCCCTCGACTCACGCAAAACGAACGGGAAATCTGACAACTGATCCAGGGCCGTCTTCTCGCTCATCATCATCAATAAAGCCGGTGGTCTAGTCTACCAGCGCGAATTCCAGCCCGGCCTGCGCAAGCTTTCTACAAATGATTATCTCGTCTTGGCTGGTACATTTCACGGGTATGTGTGTTGGATTGAATTCATCCTGCTCGAGATAATCCCCGATCACGCAATTATGTACAACTGGACCGCTGACTCTGTGTTGTGCGTAGTGTTCATGCCATCACTCGCACGATAACTCCCAAGCTCCCCCTCTCGACGGCCTCCACGACAGCAACTACCCCGACGACTTCCTCCAATATCCCCTCAACCCCTGGCACGCCCACTCCCACTACTCCGGCATCAGCGTTCACATTCCCCAACCCGGGGATCCCAGCGACGGGTCTCGAAAGTCTTGAAACGGATAAGTTCCGATTGACATGTTTCCAGACGTTGACGGGGACAAAGTTCCTTCTATTCACGGATCCGATGATGGGGAATATCGATGTTGTTATGAAGAAGGTATACGAGCTGTATGCGGACTATGTGATGAAGAACCCGTTCTATCAACTCGAAATGCCGGTCAGGTGTGAGGCGTTCGATCGACATCTGGCGGGGTGGTTGAGGGGGAGGACCTGATCATTCCTTTGATTTCTTCTCTTGATCGTGTTGGAGGCAATAGACTGCTGGAAGGTCGATTTGTGGTGACGTTAATGACGCATTTTGATGACGATTGTCCTGGTTGTAATTACATATTTTCTTTTTCGTGCTTGTTGGTCATGAAACATACGATAGACTTCAATCACATCCTTCCAAAAGCGCATCACCTAGGATCGCTTTCTAGAATACAGGAAAATACGAAAGCACATTGATAAAACGCCGGGTATGCATCAGATTCGTCCTCCAGAAATTATTCAAGCTTCCTTCTCTACGCGGTGTCCATCTTGTCACCGTCATCCTTCTTATCTTTGCTCCCGCTCGATTCACCCGATTGTCCTTCCTCCGGAATGTTATCCAGGTTGGCTTTCCGTTCTTGCTCCTCTCGCTCCCGCTTTTCCTTTTCTTGCCGGTTCTTCTCTTCTTCCAGGGATAAGCGTAGGGCGAACGCCAATTCGGGATCGTTCTCTGCCGCATCTTCGAATCCAAAATCACCGGTTTCACCACCTGCACCTGCATCGCCTGCTCCAGCACCATCACCGCCCAGAATGGGCGTCATTTGAAGCTCCTCGCTCAACAGGTTCGGACCAGGAGGGATGATGGCCAGGTGTGAGCCGTCGCCACCCTTGACGTTCTCGACGAACGCCTCCAGCTTCTTGGTTTGATCGGATTCGAGGTCTCCGAAGGCGATGACATCGATAGATACGTTGACTTTCTTCATCTTCTTAGCCAGCTTAATCAATGACTTCTCATCTTCTTCGATAGGAGAGCACGAGAACACGATGATGCGTTGGCGTTGGGATTTCTCGGAACGATGTTTCAAAGCAAGCTGTAGCAGAGCGTATGGTTAGTATCCTTATCGCCAAAGACCCCGCTGCCAAAGTTCATAGAGTAAAGACATACACCGGCCACTTGTATACTGGAGCTAAGGTGGGTAGTGCCATGGATCTTAGTGCGGTGCAGACCGGCCAGGATAGCACCAAAGTCGGAGGTGAACGTCGACAGAACCTCAGGACCCTTTCCACCCATGCTCATAAGTCCGACGGCTGACTGGGGATGTACGCGCATCTTGGCGGTGTGAATGACGCTGACGGCGTCGATCTGTGCTTGCCATCTTGTCGAGCTGGAAGCTGTTAGCAACGAAACAACGGGTTGACCTCAGAGCGGCCCTTACGTATAGTCCCCATTCCTACTGCTTTCGCTATTATCCACGCTGCAGGTGAGTTAGTTGGGTTGTACGGAGCTAGAGCGTTGAACGGGAGATGACGAACATGATCATGGTTGCTTCGAGCGACGACATCTTGGCGGCGGTCTATCGGAATTCAATAGATTTATAATAGAAGGGAATGAAAAAGAGAGAATAAGATAGTGTTAATGAAGCTCTCCTCGATCTTGAAGAGGTCTGCGGGGCAGTAGAAGATGGGGTAACAAGACGATGATGATGGCGGTGATGGGGGGAGGAGAGTTGGAGCTCGAGAACGAGAGATCAATGTCACACTGCCCGCCCCATCGGGACTAACCACAAATTAAGTCAGCGGTTGTTTATCCCCCATAAAACAAGCGCATACTTGCTTTCCTTCCACTCCCACCTCAACGCACGCCACCTCTTCGCTCTCTGACAACTCCACCCAACACAAAAATACCGCATTTATCTACCATAATTAGCGACTTCCTCGTCCGCACTCTCGAACCCTCAGAATTGAATCAGCTACTCCACTATCATGGCTTCCCTTACGTCCAAGCGGAAGTCTCGCGACGACGACGCGTACCCCGTCGATGAAGCTAGAACGCCTACCGGCAGTCCTCCTAAAAAGAGGCTCCGGGTAACCCGAAACCAAAAACAGGCACTTATTGATAATCTGCAGCTGGAGAGTACGTTTTTAATGTGTACCATTCCCCGATTGCCGATATTGACATATCATAGTCACCGAGCGGGCTCGTAAACTTCGCGCGCAGTATGCGCTCCAAGCAAATGATCTCCGGGCTCGGATTGAAAGACGCATTAATCGGATCCCCATCGCCCTCCGGAAGGTGAACATGGGCGAGTTATTGGAAAAGCACAATGCCGCCCTCCGGGCGCAGCAAGAGAATACCTCACCGAGGAAGTTCATTAGCCCGATTAAAGGGTCACGTTTTGCAGCTATCTCGGCCAAGCCTGCAATGCGGAAGGCTTCTGCTGCAAGCCCGAGTCCGCGCAGGACGAAGAGACAGAGGTACGCAGACATTGCGATATTCCGGACGAGCTTTTTACTAACCTGATAATCTAGCCACGAAGGTCTCTACTCCGATAAGGAGAATGCCCCTGCAGCAGGAGAACAGCTTGATGTACTCAAAAACCCGAAGAGACGCGCTAAGCCCGGCGCTGCTGCCGGTACTTCGCGGGTTGTCTCCCAAGAAGTTAGAGGGGCAGACTTCAGAATTCTCTCTCCGAAATCATCAAACTCTAGGACATATCCACAATCACCGCTTCGCGCGTCCCCCGAAAAACCTCAGAATTCATCTTACCTCTCGCGGCCGATGCCATCACTAAAACCTTCAAGTCCGCTAAAGGCGGCGCCAGCTAGCCTGGCCGGATCCCTGGAAAGTGCGCGCCTCCGTACCACAAAGGGCACCCCGTCTGCAGCAACAGCAAGCAGACCCGCTTCGCAAGCATCCAGGAGACCAGCAAGTCGGGCCACTACGGCATCTAAGACGACGACACGGTCACCCTTGCCACGACCCGCCACCCGTCAGCTTGAGCGCAGAGGCAGTGTCTCGTCCTCCACATCATCTGGTACAACCGTCACCAAGCCGACGCGAACGGGTGCAAACGCAAGGAAAGTGACAGCCGCATCAACCGCTAGCTCCACAGCTAAGAAGGCCGTCGCAAATAGCCAAGCAACTTCCGCAACTGCCAAACGTAGCACCGCGTCGGCTACTAGGAAAGCCGCCGCCCCCGTAGGAGGTGAAGCTCCGACAGCGGGACGAAGGGTCCTTCGCAAACGCGCTTAAATGCTCTATATTTCCCCTTTCAGAAAGGGACCTATCATCTATAGTCTTTTGACATTCCCTGGAATCTGCCATGAGAGTTCATTACGGAAACATGTGTGAACTCTGATGCTTTTAAGTTGGAGCGGGTGTATTGGCGTTTTCTATCTTGCCTTGCATAATTGGGTCTAGAGAATTGGTTGGCTTTGTAGTGGCTTCTTGTTGCTGCTTTATCGGCACGGTTAAAATAGGTTGAACTCCTTTTATTGACGAGTTCTTTTGATTAAGGGTTATATCATTGGAGTTTGGTATCATCGTCCTCCGGCTAGTTGGATGTGATTTAGTGAATTGAGCTTTGTTAGCACGTATCCCGTGCTGGTCATGATTGAATTATTTTGCAGCCGCAAGAATGTGTACTCTGATCTTTCAGAACGAAGTTACACAAGGACCGCTAAATTGGATTTATGAATATTCAGGATTAAGAATGAAGATGGAAATAGAAGAATTCCCGTCATTTCACAACTGCATGTAATCTAAACATCTCATGGAATTATGGATGTAATTGGACCAAACACAGACAATTCGGGATATCAGCGCAAGTAGGCTGAATAAGTAAGATGCAAGTGAGCAAGTCAAAGGTAGAAAAGAAAACTCAGCACAGGTATCTCTGCAGCCATTCTGAATTGGCTGGAAAACGAAACAAACCAAACAATATTCTCACAACACTGTGATGAGAAAAGAAACGAAACACCAGAGTAGAACGGATCAGAATGGAAAGAAAACACTCAAAAGGTCGAGCACATTTCACGCTAGGTTTCAGCTGGAATGCAATAAGATCAGGGATAGGGACGCTCCGGTACCAAAATGTGTGTAGTAAGCAATGATAGACAAGACACTCTGGACAACCAATAGGTTCCCCAAGGACAACAAGATGCAAAGAGGTAAGAGTCAGGCCCACCATTATAATGATGATGTTGCACTTTTAGGCAGTGAATAGGCAAGAAAGGGTAGAGGTGAGGGCATCTAGCGGAAGTGATAGCCAGCAAGCGTGGGGCTATTTGGCTTAGGTCTTGAGAATTATTGCGATGCGAGACACGAAGGATATATGTAAAAGAAAAAGAACCCAACCCTGTCAAAAATTAAAGAACGCTGAACGGCCCAATGATACACCAACAGTACTCAGAGCACCAAGAAGTAGGGAAAACGAGGATTGATCGATATACGTCCTTGAAGCAAGTGACAGTAGCATAATTATCAACTGGCAACTCCCATCGGCCCTGCTCCCGGGCGAGCTCTATAGGGCAGCTGTTGAGGTTGGGCATCTGGTTGTACCGGATTCTGTTGACTGCCATTGCTGATGCTGCGCTCACGGTTATCGCTTGTCGCCGCCGGCACTAATTCTGCATGTGGGATACCACTAGCCGAATGGGCATGACCGGGAGGACCTTGTACGTGACGTACAGAGCCTTGCAACTGTGTCGCTGCATCTTGGGATGGATCCGTCTCGATACGAGCAGACGTCGGGATGTTTGCTCCCCGATTTTGATTCGTAATAGTGAATGTTTCGCCGCCATTGACTGGCCTCTGGGAAAAGCTCCCGCGCGCGATATCTCCATAGCGTTTCAGGATCTCCTTTGTGGTGACTTCGGAATTCTCTTTGAAAAAGTTGGTGTCTGTGAGAACCGACTGCAGATCCTCAGGAATCTGGATCATCCGGAATTAGTATCTGTAACACACCGAGAACATGCTGTAAACAACCTACCTCGCACATAGTATCATTGTATGTGATAAGCGCATTGATAGCCTCAATTGCTAGGAAGCTCTCATCAACGGTGCCGTTCTTAGTATTCGGGTACAGAATGTTAGGGGCCATCACAGTGGCAAGATTGTGGATGTCCATTTTGCTGCCTGACTCCTCATCGACGTGCGAGAAAGATGACGTCCAATTCAAGAAGGCAAATAGAACTTCCATTGTATCTCGGTGAGCTTTGGGAAGCAGGCAACAGGCAAGGTGAAGAACCCGCTTTTGCTTCTCTGGATCCGATAGTTCTGTAATATACGTCAGAATACTATCCATTGTGGGGGGAGAATTGCAAGGGGGAAAACTCACTTTGTGCCACTACAAATAGGCGGTGCAGCTTGAAGGTTAAGAGCGGGTCAGGCATCTCGCGGAGGAATTTCTTCAAGAGGGCTGCGATTTGCACAGGGTTTTCCTTTGTCAAATCCACCTGCTCGTACTTGTTGTCGATCAGGTCAGACAGCTCTTTGAGCCTTCTAATGTTGCCATTTTTTCGGAAAACACCCTCCACAGACATATCCATTTGTCTCATGGCGGACACGGCATCGTCAACTAGAGCAGGAACGCGAAGCGCGCCTGGCCCGACACCATGACTAGACTCTGTGCCCTCTTTTTCAACAAGGAAATCTAGATTGACACCGAAAACGCCTTTCTTCTTCCCGCCTTTCTTGGCTTCCTTATTGAAGGCACGGCCGAAGATATTCCAGATTGTTGGCTTACGGGACTCAATAAAGGAAAGGAGTTCCTCCAAAGTGAAATGCCCGTCCAATAAAGGCTCCATAGACAGTACCGCAACGTGGCGCACGATAAAATACTCCAACGCAGATAGTTCTGAGAAGTACTTCTTGGCCCTTCCACCTTGTTCCATGAGATGCCGCTCCAAACCAGCCCCGGACACACCGCGTTGATGGCCATAGTTGTATCTCGGAAGAGGTTCGGTGGTCCCGACAAGCCTGGTCCCTGCATGCTTGTATGCGTTGGGGCGTTGCTCTTTAGCCTGTTCGGCAGCAACGATCCTTGGAATGTCATCCAAAGTGAGAGCGTCCTGGTTGCCAAATGTCAGCTCAGTAACCGTCTCGCCGTTTGCGTCTTTTTCTTCTACAATTTGGAACCCGTGACCACGAGGATCTGTGCCTTCACCGCCTGATGAACCTGGCCTTACGCTTCGTCCTTCTGGCCCATCGATGATTCGTGACGCCCGTGCTTTTTTGTAAGTCGTTGATAGAGTGCGCTCGTTTCGGATCGACCTTAGACGTCGCATTTCACCAACAGTTTGTTCAAGGGAAGATTCTTCGGTACCCTCTTTACTCGCATGCGAGTATGACTTCGACCTGGTCGTTGACCTACGCAATTCGCCTCCAGGAGTAGATTGGCTGTCACTCCCATCATGCGACTTTAGATTGGCGTCATCTGAAATTGATTAGTAAACTGAATTGTGAAGAGCAATTTCCCATTAGCAACATACCTGATGCTGGAATAGTACCTCCAGCTCGCAGGACAGTAAGGAGCCGTGCAAGAGCGACCTGCAGCAAGAAGACAAACTGCTGGAGTTTAGTCACTCGTGTGAACCCTCCTTGTGTCTCATGCGCAATGCCATTTTCAGATGCGCAACTGTTACAGAAAGCGCGCTTATCCTTAGGGTTCCACAACGCATCCTGAG